TAGATAATGTGATATCTAATCTAACATACAAATTCTCTTCCCCTCTGAACTGCCTGATGAGAATATTGTTTTTCTTTTTTCTTTCTTCAAAAGAAAAACGTTGACATACGTCTTTTTTTTTTTTCTTTTCTTTTTTTTCTCATGCATGCTAAAACCACGCTGTTTCCCAGAAATAAACTGGACTTTATGCTTTTCTTCAACATTCCTACAGAACCAAGTATGCTGTACCATGACCTAAGCCCTGGTTGCATAGCATCCCATGTGTTCACCAGACAGGGCAGTATCAGTGGCACAGGGCAGCATGCATGTATGGCTACAGGGAAGGCAGTGCTGCTGCTTCCTCACTCACCCCCTCCTCAGTCCTTGCAACATCATCTGGCTCACCCTGCCTGCTGGACACCAGCATGGGTCAGTTAGCTGATCCTAATTAAAATGACCTGTGGAAAAAAAACAAAACAGTTTGCATTAGTGAACTCTGTAAGCAATAAGGGTAATCAGAGAATCATAGAATGGCCTGGGTCGGAAAGGACCACAATGATTATCGTCTAGTTTCAACCCCCCTGCTATGTTCAGGGTCACCAACCACCTGGTTGCCCAGAGCCATATCCAGCCTGGCACAATGAATGCACAGTGAGCTTTGGGAAAATGCTTTTGTATCAGCACGGTCTTACATCAGCTTAAGCTGACAGTAATAGTGTACTTTTGTAATATTTTTGCATGTTGAAAGCACTGAACAGACACTGGTTAGGCATCAGGAATCGGAAGCAAACTGTGATTAATTTCAAGATTAGTTTATGCAAATACTGCTTATGTGCATTGTTCCCTTTCTTTTCCTCCTTCCTTCAGACACGGTATTTCCAATTGTGATCTAGTCACTGCTAGATGGGAACTGTTCAAGAAAACCAGACTACTATGGAAAGTGGCATTCATAACTCAGTTAGTTGCATTTCACCTCTGATTCAGTGCATCACTGAGGTAGTGAAAGGTTCTATTCTTTTTCCAGTGCCACCAGTCCTAAGGGATATCTGTCTAAAAACACAAGTGCTAACCAGCTCTAGCCTTTAACAGAACTTGTGGCACACACTAGATAAAGGGTCAAAGTTAATGCAGTGGTGAAATTCTTATTTGTGTACTTCTATTTATGCCAAACCTCTGAAGCATAGCTGGATGTAAGAATCTTCGTTTCCCACAAAAAACTGTGGGTAGTGCTGCTGTGTGCTTTTTACGTTTAAATATTGTTTTGTTAAAACTGTTGAAATTTTGAGTGATTACATTCCTTTATTTGTAGCCCAAAGCATTTCAGGATGTTTTAGTCTGAAAGTTCCTCCATAAACATGATCTGTATTACTGTGCACGATTTGCAAAACATATTCTATAGTTATTTTTTTCCCCCATCTAATAGGTCTTGGGGGATTTCGCATTTAGTTTCTGGTTGCTCAGAAGACATGAGATCAATATCCTTTACACCATTTATCCTCTCAAAGCTGTGGAGAATTTGACGCATGAGCTAAGAGCAGTCTGTTAGTTAGCAACTTAAACTACTTTTTTCATGTCAGTGTTTTCAAATTATGCCAAAGTTGTAAATAGCTTTACAAAACACTTTATGTAACAATTCTGAAAACCAGTGTGACAGTTTTTCTAATTAACTTATGTAGCCTAGTTTTGGAGTAACGTTGGCTGTTTCATCACTTTTAGGCCATTTTGAGTATTCTTTGTGGTACCATCAATAAGCCAAGCATTTATAGGGTTCCTTATACAAATTGCTCATCACTGCCTGCTCATAACAGAAGACTGAAATGCTTATTAAAGTAGTCTGATCTGAACTGAAAGTTAGTGCAGTTGCAGAATTAAATGACAAGAGAGAAGTGTTGCATTTGGGGGAAAAAAAAATCTTGAATTCCTATGTCAGTGAAAGTGAAACTTTCAGGCTATGTATATAGATCAGTACTTTGAATTTGTTTAATATGGAAGATAAAAATAGGCTTCTGGAGCATAGAACTGTTCTGAAAGGACTGGTGATCGTGCCTGAAATGCAATGAGGTAGGTTTTTTTGTTTACAGTGAGCTACAGGAACTCACTGCATGTTCTTACCTAGGCTGTTAGCCTATTTTTAAAATTGGCTAATTACAAATCACTGTTCCAACTTGATCCTTTGCCCTTTGCCTTGTACCTTTTCATCAAAGCAATAAAAAAGGTCATCTTCCCGTCTTCAACAAGCTGTTTGATTCCCACAGGCAGTTGTTTTGCTGTCCTACTTGAAACACCGAGGCGCAGATCCTCACCTCACCGAGCCTGTTTTTTCACCAGTGTAATTATGCTGCTTTCATTGGAGTTGCATGCTGATGCCAACATAACTGCGAGAAGAATCAAGTTGTGGTCTAGCCACTGTTAAAACAAGAATATGTATGGGTGAACGTGCTTCTCACAAATACATGTGATCTCAAAGCAGCGCCATTAGCAGATGCCTGCTGGGATGTCACAATTGTTCATCTTTCTCTAAAAATACACGAGCTTTTTGCAGAAACAAATTCTATTTAGAATGAGCTATAATCTCCTAAAACACCCTAAGGAAGGAAGATGAACTGAGACCTGTTACCATTTTCTCAGTGTAGAATTGAAATCAGGAGACGGTGTGTGCTAGAGGATTGAGCTCATCTTTGCTTTTGGTTTTGCTAGTGGCTTCTTGGCTGACCCAAGGAACAAGAAGGCAAAATGACTTGCCTAAGTTTCACACCCACAAAACAGGAATGACAATGTTGTTCTGCTTTTTAAAGTGTAGTGAGATCTGTCAAAGAAATGAGCTGCACAAGAGCTGCTATTACTATTGCTTACCAAGGCTGAGCATAACAACTATTCTTTGCTGAGTGACACATAATTCTGGAAGTATGCATGCAGAAGCCTGACAGTGACCAAACAGGAGCTTCCTTGTCTGAGTTTTGTGACCTTCATTCTCCGGTCCACAACAATCACTATTTTGGCTTCCAATGACACATAAAATTGAGAAAATAGCAATAAATTATAGATGTTACTATTAATACACCTTGTTCATTACTTCTATCATTACACTTTGTTCCCTCAAATGTTAGTTACTCTTTGTTGTAAACAACCTGCCAGAGGCTGCTGTGGGAAACTGCTTTAATTTACCAACCCCTTCCATATATACAAGGTACTTATAATTGTAAATCACCATTACATTTTTAGTTAAAATGCCTTAAACATTTCCGAACTGAATGTTACCTGGCTCTACATGCCTGGAAACAAAGTAAGTGCCAGTAGCTGTACTTGTGAGTCTTTCTGGGGTTTCTCTCCGGTCCTCCATACAGGAAAGCCTGCTGATCGGGTACCATACCCTCACACAGAAACTTGGGGTGCTGTGTTAGCAAACATCCCTAATTAGTGTTTGCATTCCAACTGCATATCTTCAGAAACTAACTATTGCTGAGGGACAGAGCCATAACAGCTGCCTCAGAGCAGAAATCTTGTGGGAGTTAAAGACTTACGTAGCTTCACTAGTTTAGATTTCATTTTCATCGTGATCCTAAACATTGGACATATGGATGTTGAAACTGAAAGTTAATAAGAAGAAAGTGCTTGCTTTTTCTTGAAAACTTTCATTTGGTATGGCTGTGTTCTGGCATTTACTCCATTAAGGTTTTGTAAACCCTAACGTGCCCTAAAATTTGCTGTATAAAGTGAGAGTAATATGAACACATCCCTCATGTGCTTTTCAGGCAGCAAACAGTAGTGACTTACTAGTGCAGAAGTGTGTCACCTTTTTCTGAATTGGAGGGCTGGCAATTTTGAAGCTGTTCTAAGATTTACTGGCAAATGTTAGAAAATGACAAACAGAGGTGAAGTGAATCTTGCTTATTAGGGCAGATTCCTCTGCATTCCTGCCAACTCCCCTTTGCCCATGGACTCTTTCTTTCCTTCAGACTTTTGGCAGCCTGTTCAGGCTACCTGCATGTGGGCTGAACAGGTTGAATGACCTTGCAGGAGGCCTTTCTTCTACACTTGCTGTGAGCTTGTTTGTAGCTTAGGAGATAGTAGGAATTACATTTTTAAAATGTATCCCTGGGATGCATGGTTTGAGGAGGCAGAAATTTGGGTAATCTGAGTGTTGTAAACACAGCTTTGAGTTCTGTATTTCTAATAGACGTGGGAAAAGGAAGTGTAGCTTTGCATTCAGAGAACTTCTCCCCCGTAGTCTTGGGGGAGTGTTTTCTTTCTTTCACTTTTTTCTGGAGATAGCAGAATGTCTGGTGGCATTAACAACGTTACGATTCTGTTTCGTTGTTTTTCAAAATGGAAACTAAACCAAACTGTCTTGATGCATCCCCAATGGGTCTCCACTTGTATTATTAGTGCTCCTCCGTCTGGGCACCCATCCTCAGAAAGACGTCAGTGTAATTAGAGTCAGTTCAAAAAGCAACAGAATGTTAAGAAGTTGTAAGGTTTGATTTAAAAGAGAGAGTAGTCACCGCTGAGTGACAGCAGAAGGGAGGAAAGCTTTGATAGGGATCTACAATTTTCAGGGGTGTGAACATCAACAAAGTGAAAAATTACTTAGGGTGGTTCAAGAGTGTATAATTAGATGTAATGAAATTAAATGAACAGTGTGTAAAGGTGAGCTGAATGTTGCAGTAAAACAACATGAACAGTAAGACCTATAGATTTATTATGTATCTGTATTGAATTAGGACTGGGGAATCCCAGTCAGGGATCAACTGCTTCTTTTTCTGGTCGAAACATGAAACAAACAACAGAAATGCAATCCCTCTCCCAAGTAATAAATAAGCAACTTGACTGAGTGGCATATAAGGAATAAACATAAACTGGTGGTTTGTGGAATAGAGACCCTAAAAGGACTTTCTAGTCTTTTATGTTCGTATTGAGTGGCTGTTGGACCATTTAAAATTGTAAGAATGTAACTCTTATTTTGAAGATGGTTGCTATTTTCAGTCATTAATGTATGTAAATATTGCTTTAAATTGGAATAGCTTTACCACGAGATTGCCAAAAGCTGGAGAAACTATCCTCGGACAGAAGTTTTTCATTGGTTTTGGTGGGAAAGGAGCCAATCAATGTGTCCAGTCTGCTCGACTTGGGGCCAAGACCTCTCTGATCTGCAAGGTAAGCGCTGACTTGCTCTTGGATTGCAGCTGAACGAAATGTTCATGCAAATTCCAGTAAACCTTTGGTTGTCTAACAGAAAAGGGCTTTGTTGTTGTTGTTGCTTTTTTTCTTTCTTTTTTTTTTTTTTTTAAATCCCTCTCTAATTCCCTCTTCTTCTCCTTATTTCAGCTATAAATTTAAGCATGAAATATGACCAGGAGGCTGTTCTAAAAACACTGCCAGAACCAAAGAGTAGTTGGCTAGAGATCTGGCAGAAATTGCACATAAATAAAGATTGCAAAATTTAAATTGATTTACCACAAAAGGAAGAATTGAGGAAAATTAGAGATGTTCAAAATTCAAGTAAACTTGATCCTTATGCTCCCCATTGTTAGAATTGTCAGGGCTTCAGTGATGACATTCAGGTGCTAGATATTGCAGTCAACCAGCAATTTACTTTGTAGATGATTATAAAAAACAAACACTGGTAAAATAGTAACAAATTCAGGAAGGAATATAAATAGACCATTGGACTGATTCTGCCTGGCAGACACTATATTTTTGCAGTGCTTTTTTTTTATTTTTGCCATTAAATGTTATTGGTTTTGAGTGATCATTATTAAGGGTAATATTGAATTTTATCTCTTTGTAGCCTTATTGTCTAACCCATACTATCTGCAGATGAAGCTTCAGATGGCCTGGATGCACTTTGTTATTGCCATAGCGGGGAAAGGATGCTGAATTTGTTGGATCATCAGCTGCTAGGGCTTTTTATGGAGTATCAAAGACATCTCAAGGAAACCTTTCTCACCACTTATAACCTTATATTTAGATGAAAGATTGATAGCTATAAATCTGAATTATACCTTAAAGCACTTCTGTGGGTCGTTATCACTAGTTGTTCTATAGTCCTGTTTTTTGTTTGATTTGTTGTTTGGGTTTGTTTTGTTGTTTTTTTTTTTTTGTTGTTATTGTTGTTGTTTTTTAAATTTATACTGAGAATGTTTGTACTTTTTTAATATTTAAAGTATTTGATCATCTTTGCATTCAGGAGTGATCAGATTCTAGCACAAGATGAGTTGGCAATGAATTCTCTGCTAACATTTCCTGCTAAATGTTAAAGAGTTTTTTTTTCACTGAAAGTGTGAATTTTGTTTTAATTTTTAATGGTCTAAGCTATGTTCAGTGAATACGTGTTCCTGGAACCATTTGCATTCCTAATAAAATTTAGTAATTTCTAGTTACTTTCCAAAATATCATATTTATGCCATTTCAGTAAAACCTTTCTTTCTTTCTTCCTTTCCTTCCTTCCTTCCTTCCTTCCTTCCTTCCTTCCTTCCTTCCTTCCTTCCTTCCTCCCTTCCTCCCTTCCTTCCTTCCTGTTTTGTATTTATTGGAGAAGAGAAATGGTAAGGAATCATATTTCTCTAGTATCTATAAATGTTTGTCTATATTATTTTTTATATAAAGTTATATATAAAGTCATTATTTACTTTTCAAATCGTATAGCCTTTCAAAATAGTCTCTTCTCAGAGCTGTATGATATTTTATCTGCATAGATCAATGGGAAACCATATAAAGTCACTTGTTGAATGTAACTGAGAAGAGCTGGATAATAGGAAGACATTACAATTCAGTTATTTTTAGCTTAACAAGTCGTCTTATGTATGCAGTGGATGTTAAAGGCAGATTGCTCCTCATACAGCTCTGCACACAGTACATATTTATGCTTCGGTTGTAATTCCCAACAGGAAGCAATTGCTGCTACAATCTGAGGTTCTGGGAATGGAATCAGTATTAGTACAAGAGGGACATTCCACTGGAGTGTGGCTTCTTCTCACAAAAACTGTAGTTTAGACAGAAGATCTACTCAACAAGAGTAAACACAGACATCTCAGGTCAAATGACAAGGCATTCTTCATACGTGAGAGCTTTAAAACATAAAAGAGAGGCAGTGACGATCTCTTCAGTGTTTGAGAAAGGGAGCCTTAAGATGGCTGAGAGGTATATGTAGCATAGAATGCCGTTGATTTTAATTTTAAATCCAAATACCGAGTTTGACTGGTGGAAATGCAAACATTGTTCCACTTCGTGCCTGAAAATTAGTGGAAGTGAGTGCTGTTACTCTGGGTTATCAATATCTATCACAGTATTGATCTTTAAACTGCCTTCTTCAGTTTGCTTGGTACAGTAAAACAACATATTGATGGAACAGATGCAGCTTTGAAAAGACAAGAAAGACAGTAGTTCAGAGAAGCATACAAGATTGTCATCAGGGAACTAGAGGATCTAAGAGGATAAGTGAATTGCTTGTCTTCATATAAGAATGCCTTTGCAGAACTGGAAAATGCACGGTGGTCTTGAGAGGGTCCAAAGCCACCATCGTAGCAGTCATTATTAAAAAAATCTGCTAAGCAGCCTAGATTAAGAACACGGAAGGAGGTTTATCTGAAAGACATTGTATGTGCTGAAAAAAAATCCTGTTTTACTTCTGACAAACAATTTGGGATGGTCTTCACTGGACATTGGTATCAGTAGCCTGATAAAGCATATACTAAATTCTACTTAATCCTCAGCTGCATTTCGTTCTTACTCAGAAAGTGCTGGACTACCAGGATATGTAGTGATCTCTTTAGATGATCTATAAGCCAAACTGAGGAGAAAGTACTTGAATGCTCACTTAATTGTAAGAACTTAGATATATCTAAGACACAGACCAGATTATGATTGCTGTCTCCAATTGTTTTCATGTTTTCTGTTAACCCCATACTTTTCTTTAAAACCATTCTCAAAGCAATAGAGAGAGTAAACACTCTCCAAAAATGTATATGTAGAATAGAAAAAATGGTCAAGAAGTACATGTTTTTGTTGCAATTAATTTTCAGGTACAGATGAGTTTGATTCTTTTAGCTATTATGGTGCCAACCAGCTCTCCTAGCTGCATATGGGAAACATAGTAAGCAAGGAGAACCAGGTTGAAAAATACTGATGTAATTCCACTCATGCTAATGTGCAAACCATGAGACCATAATGCATGTCTAACTGCTATTGTTAAGAACTCAAGAAAGAAGAAATGCTGCTTCAGCACATATAATGTTCTGTGGTCAACAGAGTAAGACATTTAGTTTTCTATTTATCCAGTAGTCTGTCTGGCAGCATTAGAGCAAAAACAAAAAATGTTGAAAACAATGTTACATAATTTGACATGGTCAGTAAGTATGCCTTTAATCTAAAATGAGTCTGATTCCCAGTACTCTGTCTTCCTCGGAGGTAAAGTCTGAATGGAAAGATAAGCCCTTCAAACGTATTGGGATTAACTGGGTTGGATGCTGATGAACTAACATGGAAAAAAGTTTCCAGAGGAAAAGGACATTAACAGAACTTCTCCAAGGGGTTCCCTCCAGTCCTGAGATCTGTTGCTGTGAGCAAAAGTGCCATGGCTGATCTCAGTTGTTGTGACAGTTGAACAATAAGGGGTGCCTGCCTTTCAGTTATGTAGGTCCCAGAGCTGAAGGAAGTTGGTTTCAGTTGAGCTTTCGGGAAATAGTTATGAAATACTTCATTGCTGAAATAACTGAGCAAATCCTGAGATTTGTTGTAGAAGCTTTGTGGCCGATAGAGAGGGAAAAGATGACACCATCAGGTGGAATGCATTTCCATAGTACAGCCATTAGGCTACAAAGGTGAACACAACTCACGCTTAAATTGCAGGTGGCTGCAGTCATCCAGCCAAAAGCAGGCAGAAGATGCATCCCTGTCTGGCAAACTGGGAGTAGTCAGAGATACAGAAATATTCTAATATGCAAACAATGAATAACACAGTGACTAAAGAAAATGTTGGTTTTCTTCTTTTCGTTGTTTTTGGTTTTTTCCCCTTTGCTAGAAAGCGTTTCATCTGATTACACTGTTTTGACCTACATTGCTGTCCTCTTTTGGTAAAAGACTGGGACCTACTCTAATTGCTTTATAAAAATCCCTTATAGAAGATGTCGGAAATGAAAGTATGTTTCAAAACATGGTTATGCAATAGAATAAGTGAGGGGAAGAATCACTCATCTGTGACACTACAAATTTTAGAATTCCAAATTGTGGGATTTGATTTTTGTAGGATTTGATCACTACTAGTACTCAAGCCTTCTCAGAACTTATTAAAAGACTGAATTCATATTTATATCTATTTAGACAAATTTCTAAGCAGGCATCAGAGGCAGCTGCTTTGTACTTTGTAGTAACTCAGAGACAGCGTTAGCTATTAGTGCTGTTCTATGGGCAGATGAATCATTAGTCAGGGACTCTTCATCTATGGACCATGACCAGGATCTTCATTTGGCTTCTTATCTGAAATATGACTTTTTTTCTCTTGAAACAATACTTCTGATATCATTGGTCAGTCATTGATACTGCTCAGATATCCAACTTGCTCTTGGAAGTAAGAGCACGAACTGTGAGTGCTGAAGACACACAGGCTAAAACTGGTGAATCCATGTTGGCTTTATATTCTAAAAACTATTTTTGACATTAAGTTAGACCATCTTTTTCTCCATATACCTCATCTTCTTTTTTTCAGCTTGTATAATGTAACCAAAACAAATGTTTATTACTCTGACTAAACAGAAAGCAGAAATCTGTTCATATGAAAGGATTAGTGCACCTGAGATTACAAGGTTTTTAACTTGCTTTTAGAAAAACAACAGACTATAGCTTGATTCTCTAACTCATTTCATCTGAGTCTTGTGGCACTGGATAAAACAAACATGTTGAATTCATAAACAGTTCATCCAGTACTGAGAAATGCCATGTTTATAGTCGCTTTCTAGATCATAATCACTGATATTTTTCCACCAAGAAAACTCTGAGGTAGAAAATTCAAATATGCACTTATGAAGAGCACTGAAGTTGCTACTAATGTTGTCAATTAAAAACAACTAATGGTCCAGGACTACAAGATTCAGAACACTTCCAGAAAGTATCATTTTCAAGGGAACACAGTGGTTGTATGAGACTAAAACTTGAAAACAGAGACATGGGTAGAGGAAGGGTGTAATAGGGAAGGAGAGATCTGCAGGACACTATTCCAAAAATAAGGCAAAGTGCTACAGAATTGAAAATATTCTATTCAAATTGCATTCTATTCAGTTTAGAGCATTCCGCTGCCTATAGTGATAACCTATCCTTTTTTGTTTTGTATAGGTTGGGAAGGATTCCTTTGGCAATGATTATGTTGCAAATTTGAAGAAGAACGGTGTTTCTACAGGTAAACTTTTACTTCAAAGAAGCCTTTTGAATTATTTCTAAGCTTTAAAAATTAATAGCAAATGTGTGTGTGGTTGTTTTTTTTTTTTTAATTTAATTGCCTTATTGGATGTCTCTCACCATTCAGAACACCAAATAATTGTTTTGACACAAATGGGAGGAATGAATGATTATGGGTTAGACTATGTGGACTTCTGATGTCAGCTGTACCACTAAAAATAAAATGTAATGTTATTACCTCTAAGTCTCAGATGATTACATCAGTAAAAGTCACTTGAAGATAACTTACTGCTATGCATATGTTTAGGCTGGCATTGATAGCAATAATGCCTGGTGAGAAACTGAAAAATCCAGTTTGATCATCCTTTCTCTATTTCAAGTTGGGAGAGAAGGAAAAAATAGAAATGCATTTGTCAACTCAGTGCATTACATTTCAGCTCTTTAAAATGGTGTGCAGTCATTTAAGAGACTGCAGCCATTGTTTATTAATACATATATACACAAAAATCAACAGTGAAAGACTTCCAGGAAAAGGGAAAGTTAAGCATTCACAATATACTATTATCTTTGCATCTTTGTAACTTTAATTCTCTCTCTTGTGTAAACATATTACTGTGTGCTGCTTAACTACATGATCACAGTTTGTTTAAAGCCACTTGTCTCTTTCAGTGTGGACAGAGTGGACAGATAAAATCACTAAGTGGCAATTCAATATTCTGTTTATTCTGTTTAATATGCAGCATCAAGTTTCATTTACTGTATGATTTAAATCTCACTTTAAAGAGAGAGTTATTAGTATTTTGTGGGCTCCTTTATCATGCTTATCAATATAGCATCTCAATATTTCACAAATATGTACAGAAGTTTATTCTTTGCATATCTTCCAACTTACACAAGCAACCAGGCAAAGATACCATAAACGCAATGTCTGTTAGTTATAAATCAATCCAAAGCAAGCCTCATGAATAAAGTCTTTGATCGTGTAAAAAAGCCCTATTATAATGCATAGCACTTAATCAAAATGTATATTCCACAGCCAGCCTTACATCTCTTCTTTTCTGATTTAAATGATTGAGTCTTGGATCTCAGCTTGCATTCCAAGATTTGGAGGCAAGGATGATTCAGCATTTTCACATAGGACTATCGTATGTCAGTCCTATGACTTGCTTTTCATCCCAGTTTAATCCACATCTAGCCCATCCCTGTAATTATATACGTAAGGTTACTGGCTACTGGACCCTTGCTGTAACTCCGCTTCTGTCCACTTCATATCTTAGATCCTTGTCATATGACTTTTTTTTTAACACTCTTCTGTTTCTTAATATACCACCTTACTCCTTTTCTTTTCAGTTCCAGTCTGTTTCCTAACTTTCCCACTCTTCCTGTCTGCACAACCAACCAGCTATCAATATTGCTCAGGCCATTTAGATCTTTACTGATGTGTTGCTCTCTCCCTCCAATGCTAGCTCTTCTGCATTTGAACTGAACAGTTAACTGCTTCCTCATACAACATATTTTCTGCAGAAGGAGCACAGAAGACACAAGGTTTTTGCTTTTAATTCTAATGTGCAAACCTAGCTCATGGTAAAAGAAACTATAATTGCAAGAAAAGTTCTGCTCTGACCCATGTAACTGAGCTAGATAAGGGAGCCCTCGGGGCAAGTAATTCCAGTACTTTAGCAGATCTGCATAAGCATGATGTTATGGTGTTCTTTTCAGCTTTGTTCAAATTTGAACAGGTATTTAAATTTTCCAGAAAGAGCACAGGCTTGAGAAAGAATCCAGCCCTTGCCCAGCCTCAAGTCCGTGTTCTAAAATGTTAAAACAATGGAGCTTCTTAAACAAAAGGTCACCAGAATTTACCTCAAATACAATAGTGTATTTTTCTTGCATACACTTGTTAGGGAAAGAAAACTGAACTTCTTTGACAGGTGTTTTACTACAGTGTTCACAGAATCACAGAATTACAAAACAGCCAGGGTTGGAAGAGACCTCAAGGATCATGAATCTCCAACCCCCTTGCTGCAAGCGGGTCCACCAACCTCACCATTTAATACTAGACTGGGCTGCCCAGGGCCCCATCCAACCTGGCCTTGAACACTTCCAGGAATGGGGCATCCACAACAAGGTGTTAGGTGTTGGGTTTTACCTAACACAATCCATTACTGTGGAAACTTTTGGACCACTGGTTAATATTTGACAAATTATCTGACATCTGAAAACCTGCTCTTACAGTAGTAAATATTGAACAATCTTTATAACAGACAGTGCTGCCAGCTTAACTTCTAGATATCTGAATAATAATGCCAAGAGGAAACATATAGCCTCATGCTGCCTTCAAACTACACGTTAATGTTTCTCTTGAAAATGTAAATCTATGGAGAATTAAATGCTGTGTTATTTTAATATCTTTGGTTTCTCCAGCCTTGACTCTATTGTTCTATTGGATAAAATAAATACTTCCATGTAGGAGTAGAGAGTGCCTGAGAAAGCTGTATAAATAACATGCTTTCTTTAAAGCAGGGATGTAGCCAAATTAAAGAATGTTGGACTCACATTTCTGTTTTGTGGGTGTAAATTAACACTTTTTGTTTTTGTTAGCTTCTCTGGCATTGTTGCACATGAAAGAGTAATTAGCATTTTTTAAATTGCTGGAGGTTATGAGTTCGTTTTAGATTTAATTCAATTAAACTGAATCACATGCTATTGGTTGAAAGTAATGTATTGAACTAATGCATGCTGTAACTTTTCCCTTTCTTAGCATTTGTAGGTCAGACTGCAGATGCTGTTACTGGAACTGCTTCAATAATTGTCAACAGTGAAGGTACATTATTTCTACTCAGAGTTGTCTTCTTCATTATGTCTCTACTGTCTCAAAAAATACCATCTTTGACTTGTCACTTTTAACTGCGGAATTAGTTTTTTACATCTTTCATCTTTTTCGTGGTCTTATTCATACATTATTGCAAATCTGTAGAATCAGATGCCTAACAGCATCAGAATCAGACTCCTATACTGGCAATGCGATGGCCATAATTCAACCAACCAGGTGATCTATCCAGTTTCACATTGTTCACAGGAGAAGGTACATCAGAATGAGGTTAAAGCTTTCCTTTTCCTCTGTGACTTGCTTAGCACTTTTGCTGTGAGAGAAGTTTGCTTCCTGAGCACACTGAATGAATCATTATGCTCTGAATCAGAAAATATAATTGTCCTTAGTAGTAGTAGAAATATTTACGCTATTCTTGTAATATTACTGCAATTCTTGATCCCAGGCTGCATCTGCAGTGTTGAATACATGATTAAATGGCAAATCTGTTTTTCCCTGTGTTATTCTTCCTTTGCTCTCATGTTGCAGGGGAAGAAGGAGTGAAGAGTTAGCTTGTTGTAATATTCCTCTCCAAGACTGCTAAACTATCTTCTGAAAACTTTATTTTTTCTTCAAGCAAACTGTGAATGAGAGCTCTTAGGAAAAGCACTTGCGTCTAGATAAAACTTTAGAGCACAGGACAAATAATGTTTATGCAAACATAACAGATTAAGTGTGACTGAATTAATTCACTTTTGTTGCAGCTAATAGCCTTCATTTGAACAGGTACCACAGCTTAGCTGACACATCAACTTAACAAGTTCCTGTGTAGCTTGATGGTACGTTGGGCTACAGCTCAAGATGGTAAAGGAAACATGGCTATTTGCTCCAGGAGCAAACCTGGGAAGGAATGGTGACTAAAGGCAAGTCTACACAGGAACATTCAGGAAAATTAAGCAAATTAGTTGGAGATGTGAGTTTAATTTTGCCTAAGAAAGATTAATCAAATGCATGACAGCTCTAATTCAAGAATAAGGTAGCTCTAATACACTGAATAAACTGAATACCTGCCTTCTCTTGGTTTGGATTAGCAGGTAAATTGTCATCACAGATCTTAAGCATTCTTTCTTTTGCAGCATACAGTCACTACTGTAAATGGGTGAGACAGTGAGAATCCAGTAGGGCATATTCCCAGGCCTCACAGCTTTATGCATAATTGGCTCTGTTATCCAAAATAACTGCATAAGAAGCAATCTAAGTATTTCTTAAATATGTATGGCCAGCTAAGGTAAGCATGGCTGAGATCGGAAAAAGTAGAAATTAATTTCTGAAGGATAAGAAGCAAAAGCACCTTGTGGATTTAAAACCTGTACAATCATTAGGAAAGGGAAACTGATTGTTCAGTGTCACATGGTTAACAGTGGGTTACCTTAAGTGTTAGTGTGAATGGTCTCTGGTAGTCTTGTTCTCACAGTGAACAGAATAACGCATAATGTGATGTAGTTTGTTTCTTTCAGAAACTACAAAAAATCCTAAATTAAGTTTCCGCTGGCCTCAGATTTAATTTAAAATCTAGTTAGAAGTACAAACCTGGTCAGAACTGTGCTGTAAAGCAAACAGATGCACAGAATTGGTAATGGTTCTGATTTTTACTTCTGTCTAAAACCATCTGGTGCCTGAATTGAGTAAATTGTAATAAAATAGCAGTACTTACGTGCTTGCTGTTGCGAGAGACACTTCTTCTTTTCTTGTAGAAACCTGGCTGATTTGACCTAAACAGGTTTTACCACACTTTTTAAAGGGCTTGTCTACACATGCATGCTTTACCACAGTAGTTGAGCTGGCGTAGCTGAGACATCACAGCAGTCAGTGCAGATACTCACGTGAAGCAGTTTCTGCTGGCTCAAATTATACGTAAAAGGGAAGCATTTCTTGGTGTGTAGGGGGGACAGAGGGCGTTGGTTTGTGTTAAGATAATGAGGAACAAATAGAAAACAGAGATATTGCTTTAAATCATGATGTTTTAATTGCTGTATTTTCATGTACCTCACCTGCATTTTACCAGTTCTTTACAAGTAGCCATACTTACAGAAAATACCAACTCCAATCAACAGTTTAATATCAAAGGCGGAAGTGGGAGAGATTCTCAAATAGAGGGAGCATACTATGATGGAGGAAAAGAAAACCAATGAAACCAGAATCAGAGGAGGTTCTGAAGTAGAGATTCCCTTGTATTTCTTGTGTCTGTCTGTCCAGTGCCGCTACTGAATTTCTAGGAAGATTTTTGCTGAGTTACACAGATATAACTCAACCATTATTTTAATTGGCAAAATAATTAAAAAAATGGAAAATAATCAAGTGCATATTATATTCTCAAAAATGCATTATATTATGAAACAATACAGTCATTTCAGTGAAAGAAAGGTTAAATCCTGCTTTAATTCAAAATGGTGGGGATATGTTTAACAAGTTTATGGTAGTCTTGGATAATGTACAACCCAGAGATGCTGTAAAAGGTTCACTCTGGGCTGGTCTCAAAAATCAGTACAGCACTTTTTTTTCTGGAACTTGGTGTTCCTGTCAAGTTCTTTCTTTTATATGACTTCCTCTTCAAATAGGTTTAGACCAAACACAATCTTCAACTCTGGGACTCTGTGTACTTCTAATCCATACTTCTACTCTCAAGGAGAAAAATTGGTACCTCAGGCTGCTTTTCTTAACATGTTTTCTTTGAGGTGCATTGTACCACTGAACCCCAGCTTCTTAGTCTTTCAGCTTGCTTTCTTTCCACTAGCTATCACTTAACCACACCTTCTGCTACCGGTGTTTTACTGAGTGGTAAGAGCTCCATAAAATTATGAGATGTGCTGGACTTTTATGTGCACATATAGAGAAGAAAATAAACTCTTTATGGATATTTTTTTTTACTTATGTCTAAAACTTATTGCAGCTTTGTCCATATCTGGTACTGACGTGATGCTGCCATTAAGCTGCTCTGACTGGGCCAGTAGCTTGAACCAACCTGACAACTTTCATATTCATGGCAAAAATTCAGTGAGGGGACAACAGAGATTGGCTGGTCATGATTAAAGTGCTCTTGATTATTGCAAGCTAAAACTAAATTCACCTACAGAGAATACTGTGAGATAACCCTCACTTGAGATAGGCTTTACACTGACTTGATGAGGATATTAATCATTCATGAACAGTGAATATTCAATATTTGTAAGTAAATGTACTTTCAATACTGAAGCACTGGTAGTATAAAAACATTCAAAATATATGTTTCAATAAGGCTCAATAAACACAGCAAACTTAGAATACATATGCCAACTTGATTGAATTATACTTTCCAAAGAGAAAATTTTGTGTTGAACCTTCAGGATTGTAAATAAATGTCACCTGAATTTTTATAGAATTTCTATCTATTGACATTCGTCATAAACTTGAATGTTCTATGTACAAAACTGTTCAATGCTTCTACCAAGTTACTCCACAGAAATTATTGTACTGTGACACACCCAAAACATGCCCTTGTAGTCATGAATTGTGTGATTTAGCAGCAAATATTTTCCTTCTAACATTATTTTCTGGTAACAAATATGTTCTTTTTTCCCAATTAATTAATATGCAGAAGCTCTGTACCTATTGTTTTAACTGTATTCTTTGAGATCTTAGTGAGTTCTAAGCACTACTGATAACTTTTTAGGCTCTTCATCCTGTATTAACAGTAAAGTCAGGATTATTGCACTGTGGTGTTTACTGCTTTCCACTGAGAGTTCTCATCTGGTGGCATGTATAAAAGGATACTTGGAAGAAAAATACAGTTGGAGTTATCTAACCTTCTAAGAAGGAACAGCAGCAGGTTTAGAAGGCCAGCCAAGAACAGTATTTACATATACATACGTGTGCTGTTTAAAGTATTGATTGGACTCAATCCCCATCTGGTGTAAGCTTCCGTAAGTTTATCAGCTTTATTTAGCTATTCTAGTTTTCGAAAGCTGTGAATGTGGCCTTTAATATTTTAGCTGACATCTGCAAAACTTACAGTTCTATAGATGCTCCCTACAAAACTACGAAGTTTTAGTTTAGGCACAGATATTTTAGAATTAGCTTTAACACAGTGAATATATTTTTGTCATTCTTAGTATGGGCAACATTTTCACCTCACTTGAGTTATTTCTAAGTTCTGTGAATGTTTTAAGGCTTCATCTACAGTTGAACACAGACATTTTTCAGATAGTTTATGTTCACTTCAAAAGGCTATCTAAGATATGGAAGATTGTAAAACTTCTGAAAATACTTACCTTCTTCTTGAAGGAACCTAGAAAACTAATCCTTAGAAATGAGTTTTCTTAGAATTCTCTAGAATGTAGAATGTTTTGGAAAACTTTTGAAATTTGTGAATATTGGACAAGATGAATCCGTCCCCTGTTTACCATCTGTCTTTAACTCTGTTGTCCCTGGTGCTGATTTCCCATCTGATTTCCCTGGCAAGAAATAGTTGCTTCCGACAAGATGGGTGTTGGTAATACAGAATTCTGGTATTAGTTGTTAATACATGGGTCGAGATTCTGCTTTCATGCACACTGGTATAAATTTCTGGTGACTGTTGTCATTCACAGTCAGTGTGGAATGCATAGCTAAGAACAGAATGTGGCTTTTTATTTACAGCTTGAGTTTAAGCCAGTGAAGTCTGTTACACCGCAGTAGGTACTTTATTTCTCTGGCAGGTATGGTTTGCTTGCTTTAAAGCAGACTTTAAGTCTCTGGCCTTTTGTTGTTACAAAGAAAAGCTTCTGAATGTAATCCAGTGCAGCATGGTCTATCTTGAATTTGCACATATAAGTTTAAGCAAACAGCCTTCCTTATCGCCTTGGGCCATTAGCTCTAAAAACTAATAATAATATACATGTCAGTACAGCTAAATAGTTTAGCAAGATAATGCAGCAAGACATGTAGATAGAGTCTCAGATTCTATGTAGCACGGAGTCCAGGCAGAAATGAAATATATTTTGTTCTACCGATTCGTTGTGTTTTATTCTTTTTACTGCTTTATTACATAAACTTTCAGCATATATGCTTGGCAATAGTTGCTTTTTGCCTTTGAAAGTCTCCTTTGCAGGTTTCAGATATCTTTGATAGCATTTACTTGTTGCAGAAGATTTTTTTCTTTCTGTTTTTTAATTGGAGATGCCCATCATTGTTGAAAAGCAGGGCGTTGGCTTTAAATGCTGAGGTTTTGCTTTTCAAATGCAGCTGTTCTGTACCAAACCATTGACAGCAGAATTGCTTTGGAAAGCTTGGGCCCCTCCCTCTGAGATCATTATATTATTCTTTCCATTGTCCTGCTTTCTTTTCAGAGCACATTTAGGGAGACAAGCTTTGCACGTTTCTTATTCAAAGGACTTTGAAGTCTTATTCAAGAAAAATAATGTACTTAAAAACATAAATATTTATTTACAGAGTAATTCAGTGCATCACAGAATTGGTATCCTTTAATGATTGGCAGTCCTTAAAGGAACCTTCAGCGGGGGCGGGCTGAGCCTGTAAATCAAGGAACAACTGACTTATTGAATTTAATACCTGAGTGATTAATAATAAATTTTAATTTGAAGGCACCCATGCCTGAAGGTCTCTAGGTGTTGTAACAGAGATTAAAAAAGAAACAAAGGAGCTGAAATAAAAGAAGGCAACTTGCACGTCTGGAGAAAAACAAAAACCTATTTGGAACCTACATAAATGAACCTCTTCACCTAACTGTAAAACAAACTACAAGACTGAAAGGGATCTTAGAGTGCTTTGAGATACTGCCGTGCCTGTGTGTGTAAAGCTTTGCTTAGAACGTTCAACCAGCCGGCTTCAAGTTCAGAAAAGTCTGTCATCCACTTTTTTTACTTACTTCTGATAAGGGTTTCTTCAGTCACAAGCATTATCTCTGTTTTTTTTTTAACATGCTGATTCTGGTTTTCATATTGGTTAGGGGCTCTTACTTGAAGTTTCACAAGTAGACAGAGAAAGTCTGCATTTCTGAAATTAAGGACACGCATGATTTTCATTGCTACGTGATATATTCGGTTTCCAGGTCATGGGATGATTGATCGTGATGCTTTTGTCTTCAAATGCAATTCCAGTACTTTAGGAAAATACACATATCAGTCTTGGTGTATGTTCCATATCTGCACTGTGACTAGTATAGTCCTTCTTTACAGTTCATAGGAAACACCGAAATAAGAGTGGGGAAAGTTCATTCATGACTTTCCTGAAGAAATATACCCTGCATTTGTTGCATTGTATCATATTTGTTAATCCTTCAATTGTTTTGATTATCTTCTGATATAACTGGATATTTGAAAATGCCACAAGTATTAAATTGTTTCTGGGATTTTTTGAAAGAAAACTGAAATCATCATCTAAAAGGGGTTGTAGAAAAGCAAAGAACTGTTTTACATTCTTTATTGTAAAAAGTTAATGCAAAAAATATTATATCTTCTCTTTAGGACAGAATGTTATTGTCATAGTTCCAGGAGCCAATCTGCTTTTAAATTCTGAAGACCTGAAGAGAGCTTCTGATATCATCTGTAAATCCAAAGTGGTTGTCTGCCAGCTAGAAATAACCCCTGCTGTTTCTCTTGAAGCGCTGAAAATGGCACGTGCTAGTGGAGGTAATTTAGCATAAGCCTTTCTGTGTCCTTTGCTCATGTTGCATGAAAACTATTCTTTATTGTACTTTCAAAATAAAGATCATGCGGTCTTTTCTGTCATACCAGTATTATTTAGAAATGAAACAATAACCAACAAATTCATGCAACGCTAGTGAAAACTGAATTCAGTTTTAAAATTTTGCTACATTTAACTTGAATGGCAAATCAGTCTCTACCCTTCTAATCTCCCCATATATGGCTGGTACTGCTTTTTCTCTGATTTTCATGCTGTGACTAAAGACACTGTAATGTCATTAGGTCAGGAAATGTGGGCCTGACTCTGGTCTTATGCCAGTGCAGAACAAGCATAAAGAATGCAAGTCAGTTGAGTTCTGCACACAACAAAGTGAATGAAATAACCTCAAAAACAGACTTATGCCCTTGTTCTTGTAGCATAGCAGTAAGTATGACTGTGGTTTTCTGCATGGAAGTTAATATCCCTAATTTTAAAATTTTAAAAAAGGAGGTTTTTAACAAAGATTCTTAGATTGTGAGTTGGCATGCTGCCATTGGATAGACAGTCATGGTCTATGGTCTGTGAAATTATTAGTAATTGTTACTGTGCTGTACTTTTAAATGTAGGCCCTTGTTCCTTCAGTGTAGAATATACCTGGATAAAAGCTGGCATTTTGCTTGTACAAGATGGGGTTTCACTACCAACATAATGCTTCTGTTCTTTAAGTGCCTGTAATTCCTTCAGTTACTCAAGCACAATTACTACAGTATTTGTACAACACTAAGTAAATAATTATGCAAGTGAAGCATCTATATGATATTAAACTTATGTTGTTCTCATTTATCCAGACTATGGATAGACTATGAGAGATCAGCTCAAAAGGTCAGCTGTGCATCTGGTCAGAGAAGGAACTGGGATCCCAACTAACTGGATCCCTGCAGTTGGGCCCAGACTTGCTCCAGTAGATCATAGCACCTTGGGCTTCTTTGCTCCTCAGTCCCCCTTCAGCACTGAGCATGGTTGTGCAGCTGTTGTCATCTCTATTGTTCATGCACTAGGGAAGGCATCATAGAATCATAGAACCGTAGAATTGCCAAGGTTGAAAAAGACCTCCAAGACCATCCAGTCCAACCATCCACCTATCACCAATATTTTCCATTAAGCTATGTCCCTCAATACAACACCTAAACATTTCCTGAACACCACCAGGAGAAGTGACTCCACCACCTCCCTGGGCAGTGCGCTCCAGTACCTGACCACTCTTTTGGAGAAGTTCTTCTTCAGATGTAGGAGAACTTCATGCATTCTTTTCACATATTTTATGCTGATTCGAGTGGCTATGTTACATGCAAGTCCGAGAGAGATCTTCTTTGATAGTATGATGGTCATAGTCCTAAACTGTATGAACAGTACTATGTGCACACAGAAGAATTTTTTTGGCTTCTATTTGAAATGCAAATCTAAAAAAAATTTTAAACTTCACTTAACTGATTAACTAGCACCTGGGATGCTTACAGTCTGTGTAAGGAGGGGGCAACAAAACATGCTATGTTTTATTTTTAAATTTTTATGAAAATTGATAATAGCATTGTTAATCTAGTGGCTAATGGAATATAATTGATTCATGAACAACTATCAGTGACTTATTTTGTCTACTTCTAAGTCTGCACATAGTTCTAGTAAAGTTGCTTTATTTTTTTTTTGTCACTTCCTTATGGCAAGATACCAGCCCATGTCAGAAAATCCAAACCTGATACACACAACAGGCATGCAGGCATTTAGCAACTGCAGAGAACACAACATATTGAGAAGGGATTGTGGTAACTGTGGGCCAGCACTAGTTCTGTGCTGTCAGTCTGCTGTCATTGTGCAGGTCTTGTGTCAGCAGAGTTTGGGTTGCTTCTGCTATAAAGCAACTGGCTACACATGTTCACGTGTCATGATGCAGTCAAATTAAGTAAACAGCTGAGTTTGTAGCGCTGTAAAAATCCATCCTTAGCCAACTCTAAATTGTTAGTGCAATTTTCTGGTTTTTTTTAGCCTGCTATACGCTCATGTTTAATGCAGTAATGTGTGTTAGGATGTGCAGTAGACTATTTTTGTTGAACAGATGCATATCCAGATGCCTCAAACCACAGCTTCAAGGGTTTTTTTTTTTGCCTGTTTTTCTTCATTCTTACTGAACGAAATAATCATTAACATGGAGAAAGAATATGGATGCTCAGGCAAAACCCCTTTGCCTCTGTTTAGTGAACATGACACAGATCTGTTAGAGAGGGAGACATCTCATGTTCTGACATCCTGTAATTGTAGCACTGATTGTTGAAGACAATCTCAGGGTGAAGGAAAGGCAAGAAGGAAGGAAGGGAGGGGCTGTGAATAATCTAAGTGGATATAAATTGCAGTGGAAATCTGATTGGAAAATTTTAGGTTGTAATGGCCACATGCTGCTTCCAAGAGGAGAACCACTTCATTTATGGGCAAAATATTATCGTACACCAAAGTCTGTAAAGCAGTTTTCAGGCTACTGTAATGCCAAGCTCTATAAATGACGGATAACTCTATATAAAGACAGATAACTCCAGCCTGTTAACACTGTAGGGAAGAATGGCATTAACCAGGTCTGGAAGCGGCTTCAGTTATTAAGGTTGTATGTCACTTTCAAGTAGATCAAGTGCTTCAACTTTTTAATCATGGGTTGCAATTTTTCATACGAGCTGTTTGTCCGTGGTTACATTATTTGTAGAATTCTGCCAAGACATAGTGGCTTCAGAAAGTAGGCCATGGAAAACTGCCATCCAGTCTACGTGCTTTTAAAAGGTGTAGACTGGCTACCTCAAAATTTAGTAAAGACTTGATACCAAGGGAGATTTCATTTAAAGATAAGACTTTACAGTATGGAAATCTGCCTAATTTTTACTGTGTTACCCGCTTTTGGAAGATAACTACCTTTAATATAAACTTGAGAAAATGCATAGAGCTTCACAGCCAGCTTCCCCTAAGAGTTTGTCCATGCAGGGAGTTGTCTGCTTGGGTAGCATGACTTTCAGAGTCATTCCTGACTCTGATCTTAAGCAGCTTCTTTTTTACTGATACAGATCTCTTGTAGGCCAACGAAATAGAGGTTCTCCTTTCAGTTCTCCTTCCTCTGACATCTCAAAGAATTAAGAAAATTCCTCTTATGCTTCCCATGTCTGAAATCTATGCTTCCTCCCCACCATTCCAACCCAGCTTTGTCTCTTCTGTATTCAAAGTATAAGGAATGGAAAGTATGTTAGGAGAATGGATCTTGGCAAATGGAGAGGCAGAGATTGGGCGGAAAATAATCTGGTAGATTATTATAATATATTATAGTTCACAAGTCCTGTTCTTCACAGACTTAAAGACAATCTTAAGGTTCCTCCATCTCCACAGTGTTCAGCAGATACTAAACATGGGAGTGAACTACATAATACCAACATATTCCAACCTGTTCATGATGAGTCTGCATTACTTAAAGCCCAAGCTGGAACACTTCTAGTGCTGTTGATGACCATTGTATATGTCATTATGATACTATAGGACTGAGTTTGTTTTTCTGTATATTCTGTTTGTTGGGGGTTTTTGTTTGTTTGTTTTGCTTATGAATGTATACCTTAAATATTTATGTTTTTTTTTAATAAAAAAAAAACTTAATTAGGGTGGCAATTCAGAAAATAGGAAGTGTAAGAGTTAAGTTTGCCTATGAAAGCTTAATTTGTCTCCTTTCTGCATATATATTAGGTTGCAGTCTTTAATTAAGTGTTCACATGCTGTTTTTCAGTGGTATGTGATCATATAATTAAAGAGTTTATTATAATACATACTGTATTGTAATAATGTAAGGGAGCCAAATGAAGATTTTACTGGAAATCCTAATTCTGGCATTTTCTGACTTCTGAGTAAATGCCTTTGTGCTTTTAATAAGATTATTTTTAATGAGACAAATAGACATGATAAAGTTGTGTAGTCACAGGCAACTTTCTGAAGTATTAATGAGTATCCTCTACACTTCTTGGAGCTGAGATTTCGGAAGGCCTTGAGGATCTTTCTCTTCAGGGAGCTAAGTGGGATTCAAAAGTGTTCTGGGTGTCCGTGTACTACAGCTTAGAGTCTAAATAAACATTTAGGGCTGAAAATGTAGACATCTAAATTGGAAGATTTGATCACTTGCAGTATTTCTCACGTAAGAGAGTACACTTTATATAAAAGCGATGACCATGTAGTTAAGAGACAGCAGTGTTCAACATAACATTGGCAAAATGGGAAACTAACTCTGAAGACTTCCTGTATTAACAGTGAATAAGTCACTTACGCTCTGTCCTCATGACAAACCTTTTCTACTGTTACACAGAGCCTTAGGCTACAGTTTCGGGTTAGGTTAACTAACATATTCTACCCTACCTTAGCTAAGGTTTTAGCTCTGCCAGATAACATATTAAAAATATACAGTGCCTTGTCTACACTAGAGTTTTACAGTGTGGCAGTTTGAACAAGTTAGGTAACACATTCAAAACCACATTTAAATCCCTGTCTGGACACGTCCTTCATTAGTCTATATCCTTGTCTCTTCACGTATAGAATGCAGATAACAACATAGCAAAAAATCTAGAACTAAGTATGTTCTTGTAAAACCTGTTAAAATCCTCTAAGAAGAACCATCAGTTAAACAATTTGTATTTGCTTAAGACTTTTCCTGTGTTGTTTTTTTTTTTTAATTAATAATTTGTTGCTTATTTTTTCTGTTACTTGTCTGTCATGTTCCTATTATGTGTCTGAACATTAATTAGATGGGTATTTTAATATAATAAAACTTCTAGCAGTTCTATAAAATGAAGACATAGAAAATGAGAGTCATTTGCATTTAATGCTAAACACTGGAGGCTGTGAATGCAATCTTGGAAGGTATTAACCACAATGATATTTCAGGTGTTGTGTTAACCTAAAATACTAGAGATTTAGACTTGTTTTCCGATTTTTTTTCAGTAAAAACCTTGTTTAACCCTGCTCCAGCCCTTGCTGACCTAGATCCAGAATTTTATACCCATTCTGACATCTTCTGCTGCAATGAAACTGAGGTAATGATCTTATGTGATGCTAAAGAAGGAGTCTTCACCAGTAAAACTTAAGGGGGATTCTGTTCTCAGAAATGCAGCATGGGGAGCAGAAAAAACTAAGCTGTGTTCCTCTGTAGGATTTCTCAGGCAACAGGTTTAATCCCTGACCTAATGAGTAAAGAGGAATATTCTAGAATTCCTTTCAATTGCATTCAAAATTAAATTAATCATTTCCAGCAGGAAAGTTGTATCCAGCCTCCCCTACAAGTAGATGAGTAAAACAAATCCATAAAAGGACACTTCTAAGATGCTAGTACTGAGTGGTAAATATTAAAATAGATCCTTGTCCTTGTTCTGCGGTCCCTTGATATGATTAGCAGGAATGCGCTAGCCGTAGCGTTCTGACAGTTTTAAACTCGCTTGCCAGGAGGTGATGCATGGCATGCTGCACTTGATGGTAAATAGCAGCTTCATATGCCTCTTCCTGTCAGATCTGTTTGCAGTGAGTCTGTTTCTCTGGCCCTTCAACTGTATGTTTTCTCTTTTTCTTTCCATCTTTCCCGCTCTTTTCTAATTCAAGCATTTTATTTCTCCCAAAGCAAATTATTTTTGTCACAAGAGACAAATTAAGCACATCTCACAAAGCCTTGGTTTTCACTTCTTATTTATTAACATAAAGCACGCTGTATTCCTTCTCTTCGCTCTCTCTTTGTATAAACAGGAATGTGTGAGAAGCAACATAGCAGATAGAAACCATGCCCTGATCATAGTTATAGTTATCTGCAGCAAACAGGATTTCTGCAACGAGCATGATACCTGTGGGTACAGAGGAGTGGGGAGGGCTAAAAGCATGGCCCTGTTTTCTGTATGATTTTTTTTTTTTTTTTTGTCTGATGACTGTGTCTGCCAAAATAAGGCTCAGTTACCCTCTTTTGAAATTTCTGTTAGAACCTTTTACAAACTTTATCAGAAGTCCTCAGTTCATGAGTCTTCAAGCATTCAAGGTTGTAAGTAATCCAAGTTGACACTGGAATTTTATTCTGAAATGTTCCAATACACGTCTCCATTTCGGATACACCACAGTAGTCAGGAATGAGCCAAACAGCTCTTTCTTTCAAGGTGGGAGATGCTGTGGCCCCTCCGGACTCTGGTAGGCAAAGCTTCCAGTATGGTTGGAAGCAAAATAATTTGTGGTTATCAGAGCCATCAGAGTTCAGTTATATGTGACGGTGAGAATGATAAGGCAAAGTATTTGTTTTTATTCGGGACACCCATATGGTGTTTTCTTCATGCTTTCAGGAAACCCTTTTATGCCTGAACCATGCCCCTGGATTGGTTAAATGGGCTACAGCATGCATTTTGGGCTGAGAACATCCGTATTCTCCCATCAATTTAATACATGTCATTCACTGTTTGCTTTTTTGTCGTCATGTCACTAGCTAACTTTTTTTTTCCCCCTTGAGAAAACTTATCCCCCATATGTTAGACACCAAACTTAGGTTTTCATTACTTGTCTGTTCCCGACTTTTCTCTCATTGCTCTTTGCAGCACACATGTTAAAGTTTTCCCTTTATTATTGCTAGAGGACAGTCTTGAAAGAAACATTCTTTGAGAAGTTTTATTTGCTGGAGCCAGGGTATATTATTATTACTACCACATGGAGAAAAGAAAATTACTCTATTGGGAGAACAAGAAATACAGGTGCATAATTACAATAGATCCCTGCTCACTCATCCAGCTTTGTACCCACCTGCGGAGCTGGGGGTACAGTTTGCATTCTTTTCTGCTATTTTCTTTTAAAAAGTAATTACAATTTGAAGATGGCTGGGATCACTTCATGTAGTCAGGTAAATTAATTTGGTACTGTTTAGAAGGTTTCTCTCTTCTGAATTTATGGGTATGATAGACCTATGAAAGTTCCTGCCAGCCATATCATGGGAGAACAGATTGAGCCGTGGGACCCCTACAGCATATTCTGAGAACACAGAACTGCACATAAATAATTGCTTTTAGCAATAACTTTCTCATATTTTGCAATGAAATGAATTACATTACCATCTTTTTAATAATCAATTATATTTTACTTCATCCTCTCCATGTCTGGTTTGTTATTGAATTGATGTTCAGGGATGAACTATTGCCATTTTTCCTTTCTTTTTGCTGAGAAAAAAAGGAAAAAATGAAGCAATGAAGCACTTGTTTTTCTTATATCCCAAAATTGAAAGACCTTTTTTTCTTTTGGTAATTGTTATATATTCATGTGCCATCTGTTTTCTGTTTATTTCATTACTTTCTTTGATTTCAGATCACTGTAATGTATGCATTTGAGAAGTTTAATTTGGAAATAAATGTTTACATATCCAAATAAAGGTTACCAGTCGCATCTCTACATGCCATTTAAAAGCAGTGAGTTAAATCTGCTAATCTTAAAAATAATGATGGTTTTGTCCATTCATCCAACTGCATCTGCATGTCCTTCAACTTCTTAAATTGGGAATTACCTGCCACTCTGATGGTCCAGAATACATACTGGGAAAAGGTGTCACAGTTTTTTTTTTCTCCTTTCCCTCAGTATCAGGTAGCCCTCATAGCCAGAAAAGAGGAATTGAATAAGATGGACCTTTGCTCTAACCCACTGTGTCCATTCTTATTTTATAGGTTTGGTGGTTGTTTTGTTTTTAATCCTCTGTGGCCACACTTATTGAATATGCTGCTTACATCTGCTTTCTTGAGATGTTTGGTTCCAGCTCCATTGCCGCTCCTCTTTGGTATCTCTGAGCCTCAAGTAATTTTCTTCTAACCAAAACCCCATTTATGTTCCAGGCTTGCCTCTTTTGCAGATCTTTTGTTATTCAGCATTTTTAAGTACTATTTGAAAACGGGTAGTTTACTTCTGCCTTATTATTAGTAAGCCCTTTAATAGCTCTCAACAAATTGTCTCAGGTTTAAAGATGAACTTTTTAGAGCTATGCAGGTCAGCTGGTTCTAAAACATTGTTTTTAACACAGACACATATGCTAAGACAAGATTAAATTTTCACTAATTTTAATTGTTACTTGGTTTGGCTTTCTTATTAATTTAAATTTACAGGTATTTATCATATAATTTTATCTAAATGTTTTTATCTTTTTTCTTCATCAAAAAATAGCTTTATGTTATTAGGTCCTGTACTTTGTGGATATCATGTGAATATATTTGTAACAGAACTGTGTTAGCTCTGGAGCTGAGAGCTAGCCATTGAGCCTAAGACATTTCACAGATGGTGTGAAGCGTTTGTTTTGCTAGAGATGAGTAAAAGGGGATAGTCCTTGTGATTAGCTGAATTATTACTGAGTCAGAAATCTCAATTGTTTACTTCCACGCTGGTCAGCAGCTTTGATCTGTGACGCCTTTGTCACAGAATAAAAATTAAAAAATGTCAGCTACAGTTTTATGCAATCATGAGATTTTGAGTCCCAAATGTGTAAGTATCAAGTGCATCACTCTTTGTACTCTATTCTTCATTAACTGCTTTAGGATTTAATGAAATCACATGCAGTATCTGATATAACAGCACAGCTTGTTCTTATGGATTTATGTGCTAGAGAGAAGCAAACAAAATTATACTATCAGTGAATTATCTACCATTAGTTTGTCTAGAAGGCTCTTCACAAGCTGTTCTTTTCACTCTTGCTTGTTGCAATAATATTTTTTTAATGTCTGACATTGCTTTCTTTTTATGTGGTTCATGAAGAAAAAGCTCAGAACAAATCTTGCAAGGTTATCAGTTCTTTCTTTGCTTAGCCTGTAGTTCAGTTTTATCTTTTCCCAGAAAGATCAAGCTTGTTGAGACTAGTTTGTTAATTCCCAGATGCAGCACAGCCTAATCCCTGAGGTTTGTGCAGGAATGTGCTAGTTCTCCATTCCCTTAATTCTTCTAATGAAAAATAAATGTATCCAATGTCATCTAAGTGAAAACCAATGGTTGTTCTTCTCAGTCTGCTATAAATGTTGAAAAAGAAACAGCCCTATAAAAGAAGAGTTCTTTGGTATACTTACCTTTTTTTTTTCTTTCCATTTTTTTTTTCCTTACTGTAGTATGGCCCTAGGCACAACCACAATGTCAATAGAGTTCATGTGTTGTTTTTCTTATTTAGTGTGTGCGTGCAATTACAGAGCCCTGCAGGTTAGGAACCAAAATAAATTGCATGTCAGCGATTTGAATTTGGTCCTAAACATTTTGAAGAACAGCTGCTTCTCTGCTCAGAGAATATTGAAGAGCCCTTCAGGAGAAGGAAAACTCCTAAATGGCTGCAGCAAATGATTGAGCATGTCAGGCTATTTTTAATGCAACACTGGGAACTGCTTTCTTCCTAATGTGATATGGATATCAGGCTCCTGATCTAAGTAAGAAGGGCCTAGCAAATGTTTAATTAAATTCTGACAGAATACTTAAGGGTTTTGATGGTAGAAAAAAAGTACATCTAAATATAAATTCATTGCTAATTTTCTTAAAGAAAGCTGCAAGATGTATAAGAATATTACTAAATAATAGATACTATCATTTTGCTTCCTTTGTGCTATTGTCTATTAGTGGAGGTTGAAACATTTTTGAAAGAAATATTAATAATGGAAATTCTTGTTAGTATGTCCAAAATCAGTAGACAGAAATGGCTCTTACAAGATTCAGAGAATATCAAGCTTATACAACTGTATCTGAAGTCTTAGAGCAGGACATCTGAGATCTTACTTATAATATAGACTGGTTAATAATAGAGATAGTCTCAGGAATTTGCCTTTTCTGTTGTAAGTAAAGGAAAGCTGCTATTTCTTCTTCTACATAGAAGTTGCTGGAAATTCACAGTATATTTTAATTTAAATTCCAACTTTGTTCTAAAGTCTATTTTATCTGTTGCTGGAAACTATGAGATTTCCCATATTTAGTCTAAAATGAAAGATGTTGCTTTTGGGAGAGGAGAGAATAGCTTCAAGCCAATTCATTTCAATCAGTTTTTAATTATTCTAGCATAAGTATTTCTTCATGTATGTATATAAAAGTTTTATAATTTGAAACAACTGGAATTAGCTTGGCTTATGGCCTGATCTTGCAATTGCATATATACCAAAACTGTCTCTCACTACTTCTTTGGGACTCATCACGTGTTAGAATTAACAAGATCAAGTTCTTTTTCTGTCATTCTCAAAGAAATTTTAGAAATCAAATATATAACCAAGTTTGTAGCTAACTGGCTTACTGTATATAAATACTTAACATTAAAAGTATTTTAAATTGTCACATGTAGTTTTAGATAAGTTAGCCTTAAGCCTGATAGTTTGCTTATTATTATTTATGATTTCTGTTCCAGTAGTACCTGGCAACGTTTGCAAAGTTGCATTGTGCTAGGTGCTTTGTGGATACTAAAGCAAAAGATGGACTGCTCGCTGAGGAGTTCACATTTTTTGTCATCTCATCAGTTTCTATTTGTTGAGTAGGAACAGGCCTCTGGAAAGCTCAGTCCTGGTGAAGAAGTGCTGGCTTCGGTCAGATTGCTCAGGGATTCAGATTCAAGTTTAGAATCTCTGAGGATGGGGAGCTTGTGCCCTGTTTCAGGTACCTGCTGTACTGCTGCATCACTTTGGTTGTGAAAAAAGTTTTTCCTAATGCTGGAATTTTCCGTGTTCCAGCTTGTGCCAGTTGAGTCTAGCCCTATTCTTGTGCAGCTCCAAGAAGAGTGGTTCTCTCTTCTCTATTATCCACACATTAAATTGTTGTAGCCAGCAATTAGATCTCTCCCTAGCCTTAGGTTTTTGAGGCTGAACAGAGCTGCTTCTCCCAGCCGCTGCTTGTATGTCCTACGCTCTGGTCCCTACCGGTTTTGCTGGCCTCCCACTGGGCTTCTGTAGTATGGCAGTCTTATTTCTGCCAGGGATCTCAAAACTAGATTGTCCTGAAGATTTGGTCTCACAAATGCCAGCCAGAGGATCCAGCACTTTTCCCTGAAAGAGGCTGAGTAAGCCATGGAGTGCCCCGCATACACCACTGCTAGGAACACTTGGCAAAGATTTACATCACGGTTTCTTTATCACTTTTAGCCAGTGCAAACTAGTACTGATGTTGAAAGGAGTCAATTGTTTCACTTTATCTTATTTTAGTTCGGGCTTAATTTTAACACAGATCTGCTTTTCAACCCAGCTTATTTCCTGGCCACACAAATAGCTGTGCTGGCACAAGAGAATGGGCCATGTGGACAGGAGTGAAAAGCAAAGCAGGACCATTTTTTTCTGTATCAGTGCTGATCTGTGTCAGCGTACTGCAACTAGACTCCCCACTCTAAAGAGACAAGAATAATTAACTGAGAATAATGAGGAGTATTGCCAAGAACCTTTGTATCAGTTAAAAGCTTCAGATAAATTTTTCTTCTACTTCTATAAACAAAATAAAAAAAAATTCTCTGTAGATTAATTATATGTCTTTTTTTTTTTTTTTTTTTTTTTTTTTCCTGACAGCAGTTTTGTGGAATGTCCTCTAGCTTTACTTAGACCATCTACCTGAGGAGCTTCATGAGACCAGCACAGGAAAATAAATTTATTTATTTGCTGCTCTTCTGTACAGTGCTATGGCAAACGTCCACATTGAACTTTTAGTATTGTTATTTAATTTTTTCTTTACCTAAATATTAGTTATTTCCTTCAGTTGCACTGCAGTTTGTTTTGTTTTGCCTTTTTTTCTCTCTTTTTTTTTTTTTAAATAAGATTCTACTGAAGGGAGGAACTTAAAATCCAACCACAGTATTTAACATCAGTTGACATTTACAGCAATCTCTAATTATTGGCACAAAATCTGTCTGGCTTCTGCTGCTTTTATGGTTCTTCCAGCTTGTTCCAGAGTGTTTTAGTTTTACAATCCTGCTATAGATGAGTTAGATGATAATGGTTGCAAGCAACTGAAGATCTACTTTTATACAGACTTTGGTTTAAAATAAATGTGTTTATTGGTGTAAGCAGTATGAAGGCAAGAAGAAAGGTTTCTGCAAAACCTGTCACATTGTCAGTCCCCAAATAACTTTTTTCACAATCCAGACAAAAAGTCCTGTTGACTTGGAGCACAGCTATCACAATAAGGTGTACGTTACACAGTATGTGTCTCATTAGGAAGAATATTATATTTAAATACCTTATCTTGCTCATAAGCTTAAAGAAATGTAAATTCCAGGTAAATGAGCCAAAGTTAGACTGACAATTTCTTTTCCATATCCAAATCCATTTTCTTCCTGGAGACTTTACAACCTATGTTGAATGTTTGGAATTACTGCACATCATGAAGTACGTAATAAATTCCTTTAGTCAGTTCCATTCAAGGAGTAGTGTGTGCATTTTGGTAATCCATTTTTTTTCTTGTGCTAAGTATTATGAATATGGGAACACAGAGTTCCTCCTCTTGAGATCTCTAAATTCAGTAAGAGACAGAGACACTTCAGTCTCTTGGTTATTAGAATAGGCCATATGTATTTTAATACTATTTATTATCTGTCCCTAGACACTCTGAAGCCATTATTGGTATACTGATTCCTTGCAAACCTTGCAGGACAATGCATTCAAAATATTTGGTGAGATATTTTTGAAACTAATTCTCTTATTTGAAAATACTTTTATACCCTTTAAAAAACTTAAATATATCTAATCTGTCTAAATAGTTTCTGCTGCAAGAAAATTTTCAGCAGTGTGGTGACTTGCCAAAGAAAAACTGAGTAGAATTATTTGCTATCTTATAATCTAAACCTTACATTATTCTTGTCTGGGATCAGTGTGGTTTAAAAAAAAAAAAAGTTTTAAATTGTGTATACATGTTATAGCCACCAAGTCTTGCCACACTGAATTCTGCCTTGTAGTTATCAAATTAACAGCTCCTGAAAACATCTGTGTGTTTGTCTCAGTAGGGACTGCAGGACTAGATCCTGTAAGTTCAAAAATTAAAACCAGCAGGTACTCTGTTCATGATAATACAAACCCTAAGGCAGTGTATTGGCATATGCTGGCCCTTCGGAGCCTAAGGGTGACTTCTCTGTTCTGGGTCAGGCTGAAACACAGGAAATGACAGTGGCAAGCTGTGAGGCCTCTGAGTCACAAGTGGGGGCGGCTTGCTTGGGGATGGCTGTAGTAGTTCCTGTCCCCAGCTGTCTGCCCTGCCTCCCTTTGTAGGACAAGCATGCCTGTACTTATGGAGCAGTTGTTCAACCACTGTATTGTATATTCTGTTTCAGCAAGAAATATGCATGCTGATTTCAAGTTTCTGTAATGCAGAGAAAGGTAGTTTGAAATATTTCAGCAGCTGTTTCCCAGGAAGCTGAGTTGTCCATGTGGTAGAAGTCAGGATAGCTGGTGAAAAGGTTCCAAAGTTTTCCACTGAACACAAGCCCCAGGACCATGGAAGTTATGTCCAGTTAATAGATGGTTATTTGAAACTACTTCAGACTGCATTTTTCAGGAAGCAGCAGTCTTGTAGTTCTAGATAAAGTACAACTTCCCTCTTCTCAGACAAGCAAGACAATATATAGTAAAGACAACAGTATACAGTGTGCCAGTTTACTTACAAGTAAGTCATACATAAGGAATACTGCTTGCTAGAGGGTTTCAGCAAAAAATACTGTACTGTATTTTTCTTTTCTTCCTGTCCGATTCTTGTCACGGATCGTCTGCCAAAAAAAGTACATGGCAAACGAGATGCCATCAAGAAAATGTATGAAGTGAAGAAAAGGATGTTTAGTTCTGAAGTCTTCACTGCAGATTTTTAGGGAATTTTACTTTTAGGTGCATGGAACTAGAAGAGATTAATTTTAAGAGCCAACTGGGAAAAGTTGACTTAAGGTCACCATCTGTTAGAAGAGAAGTTTATCTCTGTTTGTACAGAGCCAACACAAAAGAGTCTCAGCCCTGGCAGAGGACTATGGACACGTCCATAACTCAAATATATAATCATCTTGTAATGGGCCTTTGCCCAAAGAGAGCTTCGGATGACTTTTAGGTATTCTTATCTAAAAATACATATTAAAGTAAACACAGTGGTCAAGTTTACCAGTTGAGCACTTTTGTGTTTTTTTTTTTTTTTTTAACTTGAAGAGATTTCTCAGTAGCTGAACCCCAAGAATTGTAAAAGGTTTCTTGTATAGTGATAAATATCCCCCAAGAGTAGAGACTGAGTTGCCATGTAGCATTTTCACATTAGACACCAAATGTTTTTACCAAAACTGCATAATTTTGTCCATTTCAGGAGAAATGTGATTTTGGTAAAGGTTGCATGGCAGGCAAATTGTAGAAGCTGGAACAGAACCCATGCTTCCTGTGTCTCTGCCTAGGCTGCTCCCTGTTAGTGTTCTGTGCCTGAAGTACATGCTGATTTCAAATAAGGAGCATGGCATAGCTGAATATCAGCGTAGGAAGTGGTTTCATGATCATCTCATAAGACGCATTTCTAAAATGATATTAAATACTGTTTTCAAAAGAAACTGTTGTCCAAAATTGAATGCTATCAGATTATGATTTTCATTTGCGTGGGTTATTTTCCAGGCAGAAATTTTAACGGGCATCCCAGTTGGCAACCTTGAAGATGCTGAAAAGGTGGGACGCATGCTGTTAGAAAGAGGGTGTAAGCTCGTAATTGTTACTCTTGGAGCAGAAGGCTGCATGATGATATCAGTAGAAGAACCCATTCCAAAGCACGTTCCTGCTGAGAAGGTCAGGGCTGTGGACACTACGGTACGTTTTTGTGGTTTAACTGTCTTGCTTTGGAAAAGACTGCTTAAGCACTAAGGGATGGCAATGAGTAATCAGCCAAATCTTTGGGCACGAGTACAAAGGTTAATTTATGATGTGAAATTGATAGCTTGCTTCCAGCCTCTCATATATTAAATGTCAGTTCACTTCAGTTTTATAGTCTGTGTTGTAGATATGCTAGAATTATTATGCATGAGAGTATCTCCATGTTCCTCCTGTACTGAAGTCAGTACCTGCCTCTGACTATAATGTGCCATGCCAGTGGCTTGAGCTGCAGTTCACACTTCCCCACGTGTGTTATTCATAATGTCCAGAACTCCAGTGCTGTGGGAAAAAGGAGATATTACTGCCCTAACAACCCAAAAGTGAATGTTTGGCTCTTTTGACACAAGCATGAGTTGCTGTCCAAATGTAGCATAAGGTATATCAAAGACATAATCTTTACAGAATATGGTTAATAAGAAGAAAAAGTTCTTGCTGCTTCACAATTTAACTGTCTTATGATGGTAGCTAATGAATAATAGCTTATTCATTAGGCAAAAACTACAAACAGGAAAAGCAATAGTTAAGATTGCATTGCTATGAAAACCTTACCACATTGCACATATGGGGCTATTTTGTGTTCCTAGTATTATCTGACATAAATCCAAAATAATTCCAGTGGAGTTACAGAGAGCAGAGCAGGTCACGTTGTATGTACTAACTATACATTTAAATGCCTCTTACAATAACGTCATATTACATATGTTCTGTTACAATAGTTCATTAAAATCCTGGAGATTTTACCATCTGGTGCATTCCATATCTGAATTGCATTAATAATAACTAGTTCTCTTAGCATGTTTTTATCCGTGGACCTCATACTGCTTCACAAAGAAGAAAAGCAACTGTTTAAAAGATGAGAAAACAGAGGCATAGGGACTGAAATTACCTAACTCAGTAGCACACAGTGGCAGAGCTTGCAGTAAAGTCACATATGAAACAGAATATCGCTGATAGATCTGGACTGTTACATGTTAATACTGTGGAAGGTTTTATTTCACTGTTAAATTTAATCCTTTTCAATACATGAATACTGTGTTGCCTTTTGCAAGAAATTTGAACTTGAGTTAGTGTTCATTTTGGAATGCCCTACAGTTCTAAACAAAGGAAATGTCACTGTACTGTACTGTGTATAAGGTACCTGGTAAGGCACTACAGATGCCTACCTGCCTACTTTTAGTCCAGAATTAGAAGTGCTGGGATGAAAGATAGAGCTCCCAGGCCTGCCTCAATGCTTGCTAAGAAGCAGGATTTATTAGCTTTGGAACAAAATCTTGTGAACTTGACTGTATGGCTTCTTGCTCTCATTCGGTAAATCCATCCTTGCTATCAAAGCTCAGCATGTGAGCTCTCTTTTTTAGTGCACATCACACAGAAGTGATGAAGAAAAAACATGTGTTATGTGCTCCTTCAAAAGAAGCAGAAAATTGCTGCCACATAAGCTATTGTTTAATATCTTAAGATATTTGCTGTTGTTGGTCTAAAACAGCAATCCTGAAACCACACACTGACTGGAAAGTGCTTTTATCTTCCCTAGCAGTTCAGAGTTTCATGACTGAACTAATTTAACACTTCTTTTTTTTTTTTTTTTCTTTCTTTTTTTCTTTCTTTTACATAAAAGCAATTTCTTGGAGTTTACTGAATCCTTGCCCTGCCTCCTTGTGGCCAACAGGTTATTGGCTTTCCTATAGCAGAGGATTTTCACAGTTAATTTTGTTAATCTGCTTAAATACCAGTGGGTTGTTTTCAGTAAAACAGCTGTGCTCAGTTTATTCTTGCAGATTGAATGAAAAAAAGATGTGTTGGCCTTCCACTATAAAAGTCTTATACTGCTCAGACTGATTATCACTTTGCCTGAAAGCAAGTGGTTTTAAAGCAACCCTTCTAAACCTCAAACAAAATAATATCATCCTCAACTAACCTGCTTATCTCTGTAACTAAAATAAATACTGAAAGTTCTAATAAGACATGTTACACTTCTCATATGCATAGCTACAGTGGCTCCTTTCCCAAGAGAATAAACTCAAGTTGTGGTAGTTTAGGAAGAAACGCCCATCCACAGTATAGTCAGAGCTGTTCGTGCACATGCTCTAAGCTACACTTTAGCACTAAGCAAAGTTTTGAGGGACCGGGCTGTAATTTTTTTAAGCTGCTGTAATCCAATCACATCTGATAACATGTCTGTATGTTGGCATTGCTTAGATCTGCAGAAGGTAAAGTTACCATTAGACAAAGAGTTCAATGATACGTAAAACCCTTCATAGGATTTAAAAAGGTTACAGAGCCCTTATGGAAACAGTATGTACTAAAATGGAGTTTGCAGTTTAAAGGATATACATAAGTTACAGAATGAGGCACAAAGCCCTCCTCTACTGTAAAAAACTTCCCCATAGATCTTTGCCCGAATCACCTCTGCAACAGCGCAGCTTCAGTACTGCCTCCTGATCATTTTCGTTGTCAACAATATTGTAAATTGCTGCTGAGAAACTGTTTGGGTAGGTACAGCCACAGAGACACAAGATTAGAGTTCCTTGTCCCAGGCAGTGTGTCCCCTATTCTCTAGTTCTGTTAGAGAGACTAAAGGTCAAAGATGGTAAAGTGTGAATCTCCTGCCTAGCTCATGAGATGGTTAATCACAGATATTATTGGCAGAACACTGAGAAAAGCTGGCTCCATCTCCTGCTCTGTGGTGGAACATGAATCTTCAAGACTGAAAATCTGGCATTTCTCACCCACACTAAATCAATACTATAAAGAAAAAAAAAAAAAAAGCTTGTTGATTCTTTTTAGCACTAATTATCTTAATGTGGGTTTTACTAATGTATGCGATGCTTCCCATAACTCTTAGCAGAGCTCTCCATGCACAGTCCAAAACATGTAGAGCACGAATAGTCATTTAGAAGGAAGTTTTGCAAGACACGGTATTGTAAAGCTGTAACATCTGTTTCTCCTATTATAGCTAAATAATGCAATAAGATTTTGTTAAAAAAATAAACTTTCCCTTCACTTTGCTGGCTTCTGCTAGCTATTTTGACATTTGATACACAATGCGTAATAATATATAGATAACAGAAGAAAACTAAACACACGTTGTAATCTCTTTTCATTACTCTGTATAGCTGCTGTTATAGCTACTTAACTACTTGTAGTTAAAAATATGCATTTATTTTTGGTAGAAGCTATTTCTACTTTATCTGAAATTAGGTGCATTGAAATAGGTTTGAGAGTTAATTATGTAATTCCATTTATATGACAGTTCCTCAGTAGCAGAAGGTTGCACAAGCCACTGACAAATTTGATAAGCATTTCATAGCAATCAATACTTTGATGTACACATGTTCTGCAGTTGCGTGTGTGTGTGTCTTTGGAAGCCATTCGCCTGCTGCTGGAGCAGAAGCGCAGCTGAGGTGGAGCACAGCAGCTGCTTGTGAGCACAGCTGTGGGACATGACCGAACACTGTCAGGTCAAAATGGTACTTGAGGTAAAGCCGGTGATCTGTATGATGAGCCACACAGTGAACCTGGGTTGTGACATCTGCTGCTGCCACGCACGCGCTGTCCTGGCAGAGGCATGCCCAGCCTGCTGAAGGGATGGCCGCCACGTCGTGCATGCTGGGGAACGGTGCTCTGCTCTTTTTGCACCTTCACCCTTGCTATCCCCCTCAGCTTCTGACAATCACGCAAAGTGTAATTTACAGCACTGTTTACATCTATTTACATTTACTAATTATATTCTGTTGAAACTGCCAAGAAAAATTTGTCAGAAGAATGTAATTACCCAAAGCTGGAATTTGGCCAGCAGTCAGATTAGTTCCATTTTCAAAAAGCATTATGGGATCTCACTGAGCCGACAGCATCAAGCAGCAACCAGGGACAGAGCTGAGCCTCAGTGGTTGCTGCCATCACTCACTGGAGGAGCGGAGGCCTGGCGTCTGCAAGTGGACTTGGTGGAGGCCATGAGGCCTCCTAGGAGCCCCAGGCTCTGGAGTCTGAGCTTGAGAGGGTCATTTGGGTTACGTTGGAGCCCTAGGCTCTGATATCTTGAGAGGTTGGCCATGCCAGGTCTCCTCCACAGGCAAGGCAGCCCAGTGGCCTAGGGCAATTCTCTGGGCAGGCTGAATCTCTCCTGTGTGAGGCTTTAGTGGAAAATGGAGCGCTCTCTGTGCGAGTAAGAGCTGCTCTACTGCAAGTCCCAATTTCCAGGCTGCAGCCCTGAGGTCACTGTGGGGAGGGGAGCACTCCAGGCTACTTCTTGTAACCTCTGGTTTGCTCCAGACCCCAGTTTGAATCAAGATTCTGAATAACATCCACACACGCTTGCATCAGTTTGGGTAACATTATAATTTCCACGCCATCCAGTATTTTAAAAATACAGTGTAGCTGATCTGCATGAGATCTTCAGCTTCTACTTGACTTCTAAGTTTCCACAGGCAGGTGTGTGCACAAAAGTCCTGCATCTGCAAGCTTAGAATCAGAAGATAATGAATCTGCATGTCTGGCTTGGGGATGGATGTGTTCTCTGCAAAGGCAGATGGAGACACTTGGGCACACAACATTTAGATGAAAATTTGGAATCTCTGTGGTGCCCCAGTAATCACAAGTCCCTGCTATCTCTTTTAAATCTCATAAAGAACTTGGGTGGTTTACTTTCAAGGTTTTTCTAGGCACAATTATTAGATTTCTTATACTACTAGCATCTACCCTGTCTAGCTGTGCCTTTCAGGTAAAGAGAGTGCACAACCTACTGCAGAAAGCTGGGGAAATGTAAGTCACCATACAAGAAGTATGTCTTTATTGTGTATCACCATACACTGTATGTCACCATGCAATAAGTATGTCACCACTGGTTGTGATGACATGCTTATAAAGAAGCAGCACAGTTCTGAGACATGCTAAAATTCAAATTTAATCGACTCAGTTATGCCTGCAATTTGACAGTG